ACCCGGCGCCCCCGGGGGTCCTTCGCTGCGCCCTCGGGGACCGCGGCCGTGTGCGAGGCCGGGCTGCGCCCTACTTTGTGGCCCAACTCGCCGCAGGCCCCAGCGCGCTGCCCGGGCCGTGCAGGCGAGGATGGTTGCGGGGCGCCGTCACCTCCCGCCGCCTGCAGCAGCGACGGTGGCCCCCAGCCGGGACGCGCGCCCACGACGACGACCCGCACCGGCTCCTGCAACAGCTGGTGCTCTCGGGGAACCTCATCAAGGAGGCCGTGCGGAGGCTCCAGAGAGCGGTCGCCGCGGTCGCAGCTACAGGCCCCGGGGGCGCCTCCGGGACTGGGGGCGGCCGCGGCGGACCGGATCCCGTGGTCCTGCAGCCCTCGGGCGCCTTGCACTGACCCGGGGCCCCAGAGGAGGAAGAGGAGGCCGCTGTGCAGTCCCGTCAGCGTCCTGCCCTCACCAGCCCTGAGCTGAAGCCGCCGTCGCCGTTCCGGGAGCGAGCGCCTGGCAGCAGGGAGGAGTGGGGGAGACCTCAAGCCGAGAAGTTACTGCCCCAGCGAGGGTCGGAGAAAACTTGAACGTGGAGAAATGCACGGGCCAGGAAACGTCCGTGCCCCGTGAGAATTTCCCCGGCCACCTTGGGGCCAAGGACCTGGGATAAACTGGGAGAACTATGGCAGCTACTTTTATGGACTTGTACCTGACTTAACCCTTGGGGGCGTCGTGTGTTTGGATTGTTTAAAGATAGGGCCCCAAGGGGCGGGAATCGTGAGGGCTTTATAACAATACTTGAAAACTCAATGACACGAATACATTTTCTTTATTTTCCGGTGGAAGAGCTTAGTGAAAATGGTGCTACAATTGCTGTGCAAAGAAATTCCGGAGGGAAGAAGAATGTAAAAGCTTGGTGGTGGGTGGTTGCCTTCGCCCCCTTTCTCCCACCGAATTGGCGGCTGGTGGAGGTGGGAGATGTGAACTCCAGTTAGGGGGTGGGAGGGAGGTGGAGAATTTTGAAGTGGGTAGAGCTGTAGTTGAATTTGAACTCTTAAATGACTTGACCTTGCCACCTGTGGTCAAGGTCACGGTTTCCTGTAGGTGGAAGGCTGTGGGGGTTCCTGGGAGGGCTAACTCACCCCCATGTCCTTTCTCTTGTTACAAAAAGAGCCCAGTCTGTGCTTTCCTACCTTTGGGTGTCTCCCTAGGAGACAGGGGGGAGAGGGACGTGTGGGGAGAGTTGTTTTTTTTCTGTGCTTTCCTCTTTCCAGAACTCCTCCTCCTCCCATGAGGCCACTCTTGGCCATGCCATGTGCTTTCTCAGAAACAGTCATAAACAAACTCTTGAATCTCCGGTCCTCCCATTCCGCCTTTCTCAATCCACCCGTTCTGGTTCCTGCAGGGGCGGCTGAGACCCTGGCTGTTTTCTGCTCTGTCCTGGCTCCTCTGTGGATCTGTGGGCCTGAGCCTCCGTGGGTCCTTACCCCTCACAGTGACCTCCTACCACCAACTCTTCTTTGTGAGTGACTGAAACCGTTTTTAAAATGTGATTCTCCGAGAGGAGAAACCGCTGGCTTTACCCTTGTAAAACTTGATGGCGCTTTAAGTAAGGTGCCACCGCCAGACTTTAAGGTAGCTAAACCCATTTTTTTAAAAAAGATTCAATGGCTTGTTCATCCTCCAGATGTAGCTATTGACGTACACTTCGCACCGGAGTGTCTGAAATTGTGGTGGTCCTGATTTATAGGATTTCTTAATTAAAATGTCTGCTGAATACATTTGTTTTTTGGGGTTTTGTTTGTTTGTTCTGGAGCATGGTTTGGCTTTTTGGTAGGAGTGGGGGGAAGAAAACTTGGGGATACATTTAATAATGAAGCGTGCCCTTGGGGAGACCCAGGCTCAGCACAGAATGCTGGTAGCCCTGCAGGACCTCAGTGCTTCTGGGGTGATGGGCCACAAGATCAGAAAACTAAGTGTAGGTTTTTAAAAGCTGCTAGATGGGCTTCTCCTTCTACTCCCTTTGTGGAACAAGAACATAATCCAGAAACACTTTCTGGCTGGAGGGCGGAGGCCAAGTTCCTTGTGTCTGGATTTTTATTGATTCCTTTTTATTGATTTTTAGAGAGAGAGAAACATTGATCAGCAGCCTCCTGCAGGCTGCCTACTAGGGATGGAGCCTGCAACCCTGGCATGTGCCCTGAGAATGGAACTGGCAACCTTTGAGTGCACGGGACAACACCCAACCAACTGAGCCACACCAGGGGAAATGGCTGGGTTTAGTAGTCAGGGGTTAGATTAACTGAAGTGGCCCCTCCACGTTGCCCTGCCCTCAGCCCCATTTTCCCCAGTAATGGAACCCTTGTGGAGCCCCTTCTTACTTACTTCCTTGCCCTTTTCAAGGAAGCCTTTCTTGGCACAGCCCAGCTAACCAGTCCCCTGAGGGACCTCTTCCTGCCCAGCACCCTCCCACGCTGGAGCTTCAGGGGAAGGCTCAGTGACTTGGTTTGAGTCAGCCCTCCTGCTCACCAGCTGTGTCATGGGGCAAGTCAATGTCCTGTGCTTTTCCCTTTCTCATTTACAAAACAGTAATACTTAATAGGGTACTTGGGAGGTTTGCAGGATCTAAGGTATCTGGGATACTTAAGGGCTCAAAAAATGGTAGCTGTTAATTTTTTTTTTTTTT